TGGGACGCGCCTCGTTTACCCAGGGGGTGAGTGCAGACCCCTGTGGGACGCCCCTTGTTTACCCAGGGGGTGAGCACATACCCCTGTGGGACGCGTCTCGTTTACCCAGGGGGGTGAGTGCAGACCCCTGTGGGACGCACCTCGTTTACCCAGGGGGTGAGTGCAGACCCCGTTGGACGCGTCTCAGGTTTACCCAGGGGGAGGGGCGCGGGGCGTCCGTGCGCGTGAGTGTACTGAGGGCTCAGTGTAGGTCCTCGTTCCGAACAAGGCTAGAAATGTCAGCTGACGCAGGACACCAGGTCAAGGGTGGGTGGCCTGGGATCCCCGGGTCAGTGGAGGGCGGTCTGGGATTCCTGGGTCAGTGGGTGACAGGCAGCCTGGGATCCCCGGGTCAGTGGAGGGCAGTCTGGGATTCCTGGGTCAGTGGGTGACAGGCGGTCTGGGATTCCTGGGTCAGTGGGTGACGGGTGGCCTGGGATCCCCGGGTCAGTGGAGGGCTGCCCAGTGCAGATACGGCAGGAGCAAGGATCAGGAAACGGGGCCCTCCGTGTGGTTATGGAGGGGCAGCTTTTTCATCACATTCCCCTCATTTACCCAGAAGCTTGGGAAAGTCTTGGAGCCTTTTTGCCATTTATTTTATCTCAAGCAGCTCATGAGCTGCCTTCTTCCTCTGAGGGTGCTCACCTGCCTCAGAAGGGGATGCTAACCCCCAGGGGAGGGGGTTATGACATGAGGAGGGAAGCAGGGACTTAGAGAACCCTCTGTCTTCTGTTCAGTGACATCGATCTAGTGGTCTTTGGAAAGTGGGAGCGGCCGCCTCTGCAGCTGCTGGAGCAAGCCCTGCGGAAGCACAGCGTGGCCGAGCCGTGCTCCATCAAAGTGCTGGACAAGGCGACAGTGAGTGTGGCCCTACGCCCCGGCCCGGCACAGCCCCGGCCCGGCACAGCCCCCGCCCAGCACAGCCTCTGCCCGGCACAGCCCTGGCCCACCCCAGCCCCTGCCCACCACAACCCCCGCCCTGCACAGCCCTGTGCCCCGACCTTGTACTCTGGCCCCACGCCCTGGCCCACTACAGCCCCAGCTCACCATAGCCCTGCTCCCTAGTCTCACACCCCACCCCAGCACAGCTTCATGCCTTGGCCCTGCACCCCAACCCCCTGCAGCCTTGTGCCTCGGCCCCATGCCCCAGCCCCATGCCTTGGCCCACCACAGCCCCAGCCGCCCACAGCCCCATGCCCTGGCCCACCACAGCCCCAGCCGCCCACAGCCCACAGCCCCGAGCCCCGGCCCACCCCAGCGGGCCTCCCCAGCTGGCCTGTGAGTGCAGTCTTGCAGCACTTGTTGGTTACGTTCGGCAGACC